ATCTCTAACTATGTGAATTCACCCTCCGGCCAGTTGAACCTCCCCATCTGTAGCAGAAGCGCTGAATGATATTCAGGCAAACGCTACTCTCTCCGGCCCTTGTTTCATCCCTCATACAAATGACTGATGGTCACGCAGTGTCGTGGTTGGTTGGGGCATTCTGTTGCGGCCGGAAAGTCACGGTTTCGAGTCCTGTTGAGGTCATTGAATTTTTTAATTTACCTAATATTTCCAAAGGGGTATGCAGTAGCGAAGTTGGTTGATCCAGCCTCTTTAACAGAAATGAGTACCAGGAATATTCTTGGAATGTTGTTGGGGGTAAAGGGCGGCCGGCGCGTAAGGCTGATAACCTTACCGCCTTCTATGAGCCGACTGTCTAGAAAATGTGGGAACCTCCACGTCTCACCACCCTGTAGGCCTCCACGGCGTGTTACAGGGACGCATTTACTTTGCTTGCTTCTAATAGCGCCACATTGGTTTTTTGTGTGTGGGCCTCTGGCGAGCCTGGGCCTGGTGGCCCGGCCCCTGGCGTTCTTGACGCCCCTGGATCCCTTGGCGTCCTTGTTGAAGGGCGGCGGTAGCCCTTTCTGATGGTCTGTTCTGAAAATATAAATTAAGTTAGAGGGATTAATGGACTTGGTACAGGACAGGATGTTTTCTAAATACAGGCCTAAAATTGTTGGACACAATCTCTCGTGTGCACAGCGAGTAACCTTGGGTGGTTCCGAAATATAGGCTACTCAGGCAAGTCTCGTCTGTCCTCTCTATGGTGGGAACTACCCCCTGACATATTGCCATAGTTCCCTCCTGGCAACTCTTCATATTGTCTGCAGGTAGCAACATATAACTCCTCCTATCGGATGATACCGCTAACCTCTCGGTCCCTGTTTGAAATCTGACAAATTTTCCTATATGGTTCTCAAATGTTGGTAACGCCACTGGGTCGTACACAAGGTAGGTTCGCTTCTCGTGTCTTAGAGGAAGTTGGATAACAAGGCGAATAGCTTCCTGTGTGGCCAGGACTGCGGCTTGGGCCGATTCGTAAAATGCATGCATATTCTCCGGCTTCAAGGCTGTAATAAATGAATAGCCTTGTTCTGGTTGGACATAAATGTCGCGTAAAATCGCGAACAGTTTATGGGAGGGTAGAAAACTGGCGGTCATGCGATGTGACATCGCTAAGTCTAGGCTTAATGCTACGCTTGCTATATCCGCGTACATCTTCATTAACAACACTTCTAGCTCTCGTTTAGCTCGCTCTTTTTTCCGACTCGGTTATCCGGCGCGCGGTCTGATTAAGTTGCTGGTGTAGAGTTAACTGCTCTCTAACGTCTTCTTCGCGGCGTATCTTCATTGCCCTGATCATTTGAGCTAGTACGTACCTTCGAGTTTCCCCCCACGCGGCGGGCGCGTAAGGCTGATAACCTTATCGCCTTCTATGAGCCGACTGTCTAGAAAATGTGGGAACCTCCACATATCTCACAACCCTATAGGCCTCCACGGCCTGTTACAGGGACACATTTACTTTACTTACTTCTAATAGCGCCACATTGGTTTTTTGTGTGGGCCTCTGGCGAGCCTGGGCCTGGTGGCCCGGCCCCTGGCGTTCTTGGCGCCCCTGGATCCCTTGGCGTCCTTGTTGAGGGGCGGCGGGAGCCCATTCTGATGGTCTGTTCTGAAAATATAAATTAAGTTAGAGGGATTAATGGACTTGTACCGGACAGGATGTTTTCTAAATACAGGCCTAAAATTGTTGGACACAATCTCTCGTGTGCACAGCGAGTAACCTTGGGTGGTTCCGAAATATAGGCTACTCCGGCAAGTCTCGTCTGTCCTCACAATGGTGGGAACTACCCCCTGACATATTGTCATGGCTCCCTCCTGGCAACTCTTCATATTGTCTGCAGGTAGCAACATATAACTCCTCCTATCGGATGATACCGCTAACCTCTCGGTCCCTGTTTGAATTCTGAGGAATTTTCCTATATGGGGCTCAAATGTTGGTAACGCCACTGGGTCGTACACAAGGTAGGTTCGCTTCTCGTGTCTTAGAGGAAGTTGGAAAGCAAGGCGAATAGCATCCTGTGTGGCCAAGACTGCGACTTGGGCCGATGCGTAAAATGCATGCATATTCTCCGGCTTCAAGGCTGTAATAAATGTGTTGTGCCGCAGGGGGTTGTCGCCTAACCTCCCACTGGGGTCACCAGTAGGTATATCTCTCCAACCCCGGGAACCACAAAGGAAGGTAGTGCAGGTTTCACATACATGCCATTTCAGAATACCAACTCACTAAAGCAAAGATATATATATATTATAAATGTGTGAATTACAACCAAAACAAATAAAATAGTGCCTTGCGGCTCTAGTTCATGTAGCGTGTTCTATCCTTCCTCGTCCTCCTGTGCACAAGCAAAAGTAACAATAACTAAAGCGAAATAAGTATGGTGATTACATAGTCCAAATAAAGTTCCTATATTGTGAAATCCATCGAGCGATCCGGAGTAGTAACAGCCTCCGTCCGTCTTGTCTTTAACCACCTACAACATGTAGCTTACATTGTCTCTGCTTGCCTTCTCCTTAGGTCTCTACTTTCACTAATGCTCCATAAATCCTAACCTAAATCTAATACAAAATAGTAACTTCAAAACGGGTGACTTGTCACTTCTATCGGGTGACCCGTCACTTCTGTAAGGTGACGCGTCAATTCTACTGGGTGACCTGTCCCTTCTATCGGGTGACCAACCATTGGCAAGTACTCACGTGCCCCTTCCATGGGCGACAACTATAGTCCCATCTCTCGCGGTTCCTTGTTCAGTGATGCCCCTCGCGACTCCGCGTCGTCGTGCCCCACGGGCTCGAAAGCGTACTCTGTCGGCGTCTGGCGACAATCGTCCAGTCTTAGCTTAGCCCTCCGCCCCCTGGTCCGAGGGTTCTTATACCATCTGGATCCGTGGGCGTGCTTCCGTCCTCATGGACGCATTGGGAATCGGAGATTCCCATTGGCTACATTCCCTTCGGTTCTTAAACTTGCCTATATTTGGTCTTTCCTGACTGCCTCATACTTTGTCCCTCATTGTGTGAAGTGGCTGACTAACGGAAATGAATAATCATGAATAACAGGATACATGAGCAATCTCGATTTCCGTAGTTAGTTTCATCATTCTAGCTCAACCATAAATTCATATCTGCTAAGCCTTAATAATATAATTTAAAACATCAAGGCCAAGTTTTCAAAATGTTTTCAAAAGTCCTGGGCACAACACTGCCCCCTCCTTAAATGGAAATTATAGCTTCCTAAAGGTAAATTTCCATCTTACCCTAAGGTTTTAACTCGTAACTTTTCTTTAAAACTAACAATTACAATTCAATAACCTTCTTACATAAATTTTTCTTTAAAACGTACAAACAATTTTAACTGCTTACGCACACCATCTTTGTTCTGTTCATTAAGTCCAAACATCACATAATTTTGTTTTACAAGTTTAATACAAATTTGTCACTAGTCTCTCCCGTTCTTAGCTTCATTCACATACTCGTTCCGTCCATATAGTAATTTCACTAAAGTTATCACATGGTTCACATTCTTGTGGCATTACAACTGCTTATCCACGATACTCCTGCTAACAGCTGACGTTATCAGTCCCTTCCGGTGTCGTAGTCCCGCTAGTCTGGCGAAGTGTATTCGTTCTGCTGTTAGGTACTGTATTTCACTCGTACTGATGTATAGATGTCGCAGGATGTGACGTCCTCTCTTCCTCTGTCGTTGAGTTCTTTAGGTGATAAAAGCAGCCAATTAAAAAAATAAAAATATTACAAACACCATGCGTACAATTACCGGTAATATAATTTCCCGTAAACGTAAGGTCGTTGGTCAAAACGGCATAAACTTCATACTAGTCAAGGTTTAAATGGTCGTTGCCAAACTCTACTCTTAAAATAAAAATCAAAAGGTTTCTGGTTTTTTTTTTATCCATCTTCTATCTTTGGTGTCCTAGCTGTGCGGGTTACAATGGTCGAGTCCAGCGGCCGCACATTCTGCAGCTCAGCTCAAGTTGCACACACACATAATCCTTGTCCTGCAATGCTTCTCTTGGCGACCATCCTTCGGCGCCAATTGCTGTTGGGCACAAATAGTGGTTCGCTCCTTAGACAACATCGGCTTTCAGATCGCTGCTTCGATTGTTCCTGTAACTTGTTCATCGTGATTTAGTATATGTTATGTCGCTTCTCCTCCTCCTCGTTCCTTGGACATCCCGTACTGGCGAGGGCAGACTATTATTTAAATTAATCAGTTCATCATAAAAATCTAACAATTTACTCATTGTAATAAAATATAAAATTAAACCCCATTATAATTTCCTTTCTTAAGCGCCAAATAATCTGTTCCTATACTACAAGCCTGCCGTCATCCAGCGTAAGTAGGCTTGCTCATGGTTGGTCACTTACATATTTGTCAATTCATACTGTCCTTTAATTGATACATGCTGCAAAAGTCATGGCAGCTTAACCCATCAAACCTAAGTCTAACATATAACAGTAACAATACATTACATAGCAATAAAGCAATAAATGATGTAATTGAGTATAAATCATCTATGTACAGGTAATGCACTACCTTGACCTTCCTTAATTCATAAGTAATTTTAAACATCCACAGTTCCTCTAACATTACTCATTACAGTTTAAATTAAATTCACTCATCTCCTTACAATTTGCTTCTTATCTTAATCCATAAAAACCAACGTGTAACATCTGTTGTTCCATCAATTTAAGTTGAGTTGGGTAAGTGGTCATTCAACATTTCATCATCGTTTATTTACTTCTCATTATTCCTACTTTACTGCACCCAAGTCCTTAACGGCATCACGTAGTCGTTACTTCAGTATGTTATGTCGTTATCCTTATCTAAATTCAAAATCAACGTCAACAGTGTAATCACTCGTAACTATCTTTCGGCAACAACTTACCGCATCTTGTCCCGTCCGTAAATTTACTCAGTTTAAATTTCTTCCTAACTGTTTTATAAAATTTAAATTACATCAGTTTGCCCTTCCAAATAATCTTATCCTCGTTTCCTTAATTTCCATCACCCACTTATTTCATAATTACTAAGTTTCAGCTTTTATTTTCGTCTGACTTAACGTTACATTCCATAACCACAGTTACTAATAAAACTATAATTCCAAAATAAATAAAATTCCCTTACCTACATTATCCAAAATAAAATTTTTTACTAAAATAATTTTCCACAGTATTTATATTTAACTCCATCCAATCAAAATATAAACCAAAACATAATGTTCAAACCGTATGTACTTCACAATAATCATATAAATCAATTTTACGTGTCTGTAAATCCACGGTCATTAAAAAGAAATAATATTACCCATTTTGGTTAACTGCCAAATATAATGTCTCTAATTTTATCTCAATATATCTACCCCAAATTAATAAAACACACCTCAAATTCATAAAATTTACCAAATTTTTCATCCTTAATTATAACAAATATTACTGTTAATACTTAATATAAACACCCAAAATACATCTTAGTAACACCGTTTCATTTATTAACATTTCCCACCATTTAATAAATTTTTAACATATAAGTACACGTAATCAACTCCAGTAGTGTCAAAACAATTCCCGTAAGTAATTTCATTACTAAATCAAATTACGTAAGTTTCCTTCCTTACCCAAATATTTACGTAGTAAAGTCGTCCTCCATGGGCATGCTTCAGCTCCTTCGGCGAATACATCAATAACTATTTCAACAAGGTGTGGGATAGGGCCTTCCATAGCACTAGCATACAGCTAACAATTCAGCCTAATCACTTCGTGTTTGTCCGCGTACTAACTCTCAGGTTAGTTACTCATACGTAAACTGATTCTCAACCGTCCTTCGCATCTGCTACTCGAACGCAGTGCAGTCGGTCCGCACACTCAGTTCATTCCACATAAAATTATTCGACGGTATAATAACATTTCCCCCAAATTCTACTAACTCCTTCACTAATTATAAGTAACGTCCAACCTTGTGTTGCACACCCATGACATTATTAATATAAACATGTACTAATATTTCAATTCATAATAAGTCTAAAGAATTAAATTTCACTACGTCCCCAACGCATTTTCTTTTACTATTCTATAACCCTTTAAATCGCACTAAAATTTCATACTAACCAATTTTCCTCCTAAATGTAAACAAATTTCATTTTACATATAAATTTATTATTATCACTTGTCATTCTCAATGTCCTGTAACCCTTCCTACAAGTAATCTCTTGGCAGTGCTGCATGGTAGCTTCACGAGTGAATGTGTCACCCGCGTTATCGTGAGTAGCTTCCGGTCTCCTTTTGTAGTAGCGGAAACAATGTAACGCGACAAGCAATCCGCATCCACATGTTTCCCTTTTTTAACCTTATGTTCAATTTCAACGCATATTCTAACACTGTACAACCGTATCCAACAAACGAAATAAAGTAAACAAATGTGTTTATCCTACAAATAGTCAGCTAATCAAACCAATAGTAAGTCAACTAAAATTCTAATGTTAACAAATCCCTACACTTATCAAAACTCATCATACGTCTATCTATAAAAATTTTAAACATCTAAATTTTAAACACTGTTAAACACTAGCTTTCACGGTCTTACCTAATATTTAATAACTCCCAAAATAATAGCAATTTGGTCACACAAATCTTTATATACTTCTCTACACGTCATCCAACACACAACATCGTTCAACCTTAAACTCAACATTCATTCCCTTAGCCCTACACAACAAGAGCTTGCAACTCCCATGTAACAAGGTAAAATTTCGCATGTAACACTCCACGCAAAATAAAGTTCTAAAGTCTCACCCATCAAATGGTCGTATTATTAAATGTAAAAACAGTAGTCGTCCCAATAATCCATACATCCCACATGTGTCAAGTCCTCCAAGTTTTATCCAAAACAAGTAAAGTTCAAAACATCTCTACCAGCATGCAGTGTGCCTCTAGTCGGCACACAAAAAGAAATGGGGGGGNGTTGATATTCCGCGCCGGGTTATTAACCTTACGGCGTGTTAGCATTTTCTCACACATCAGTACAATGGAGGTCGTACGATTAATCCGTATCGACAGGCGTCCCTGTCGCGCCTCACAATAATTTTGTTAACACTAGTATTGTCTTCTACCACCACGTCAATCTCTCGTTACTATCCAGGTTTACCTAATCCGTACTCTCTGGTACGAGTTGCTCTTTCCCCGGGGGACATTCGTTCCCCGTCCTCTCTCTCTACCTGTATTTTCCCGCCAGATCCCGGGTATATGTGTCCCAATCGGGAATCTGACTCCCCGATCGGCCGTTTCCTGCATTCCAATGTCGCGGCTAGCTCAACCTGCAATCATGGAAGAGGCCCACTTTCGTGGTTCGGCCCATCGTGCCTTCCCCTCAATAACAGTGGGAACCTAGTTCACTAATTTTCGTAGTGTCCCATTTATTGAGTTATTGAAACTACGTCCCTTTTTCCGGACAACCGTGGCTAATTATCTCCTACATTCGTGCACGTCTAACTCCCCTGGTTTTACCCTGCCAGTCAGTTCTCCCTCACCGAGGTGAGTTAATTCTTTTCCTACCCCCTTATTATTATTAACTAATTTTGCCTGAAAGCGCACCTGACTCATTGTCCAAGTCATGTACGCAATCAGTGTACCTAAATTTCACAGCTAATTCTTAGCTTCCCGCGGATATCATAGCGTTGCGACGTTGAGCGACAACACCACTCCGCGTAACGACGTTCCAGGTTTTTATTCACCTGCCTCTCAGTAAGCGAGAGGGAGACGGTTTACCCGAGGGCTATAGCGTTCCAGACATCATAGTCGGCACTTCCCGAGTTCAACCCTGGGATGGGCCATTCTCGCCTGCTCACGCGGCAGCGCCGTCAGCGGGGTGCGCTGTCCCGCGTCCGACGTTCCCTGCAACGGGCGGCGTTGGTGGCGATGCGCTCGCCACCGCTCGGCCTCCTAGCCTGACAGTTGACGTCGCTCCCCTCTCGGGATGAGCGCACTGGTCCGCAAACCGACTTTTGCCTCCCTCTTACTGCGAGTATCACCCCCAACTTGTTCATTATGCCAAATTATTACTTCACAATATTATTTTCTTACCAACTTATCACTCTAATTTTTACACCCACAATTTCAATAGTAATGTTCGTCGTCACAACAGTCTCACAGTTTAACTCACATGTACACCCAATTTAAAAATTAATTTACACTTATGCTAGTTCTCATAGTCCTAATTGGTAATACACTTCCTCCTACCTTTCCTCCAGGCGGAAGATCTAGTTGTCCCTGCAGATTATCCAACCTACAGTGGTGAAGCCGGCGGGGATTTTGCCGCTGTCACTTCCGAGCTCCCTTCTCTCTCGCTCGACTGTCGAGCGGATCGGGCCTCCTCTGGGCCGTCCCGATCCCGGTGCCAAAACTCGTAACAGTGGTAGCATTGAATAACCAAGGGGTGTACCTCACCTGACGGGACCCATAGTTTCACCCTTGTTCCGGGACCTAACCCCCCCTAGGACATTCCGTATTCCTAGCTCCTGGGGCCGGGCGAGACTCCCTTAAAGAACCGGTTCCCCTGATACGTCGATGATCTTCCCCGAACCACCAGCCGGGAAAGTCGAGATCAGGGTCCTGGCGACAGTCACTCTCATAATGTCCAATCTTCCTACATCGAAAACACCTAATGGCCTTCTTCTTGGGTTGTCCGCGACTCCTTCTTCTCCCTTGGGGAGATTCGCTACCTCTAACGTAATCCCGCTGCTCCTCCGCTACCTTAAGGGTTTCCAACTCCGTTCTTAGTGCCTCCACCTGAGCCTGAAGGGCTTCCAGTTCTCTCTGAGCCATTGTCAATACTCGGCTAAACAATACCGCTGTGACCACGCCCTTCCCCAACTTAAATTTGTTATCCACAATTTTCTACTTATTACCCTAAGCGTCCCTGGGTGGCGAGAGTCAACTACATGCACTCTTCTCACCTGTCGGCGTAAGTCCCGCAATTCGGGCAGAATTACAAGCTGATCCCGTAGCTGCCACCAGTTTTGTTGTGCCGCAGGGGGTTGTTACCTAACCTCCCCCTGGTGTCACCAGTAGGTATCTCTCTCCAACCCCGGGAACCACAAAGGAAGGTAGTGCAGGTTTCACATACATGCCATTTCACAATACCAACTCACTAAAGCAAAGATATATATATTATAAATGTGTCAGTTACAACCAAAACAAAAAAAATGGTGCCTTGCGGCTCTAGTTCATGTAGCGTGTTCTATCCTTCCTCGTCCTCCTGTGCACAAGCAAAAGTAACAATAACTAAAGCGAAATAAGTATAGTGATTACATAGTCCAAATAAAGTTCCTATATTATGAAATCCATCGAGCGATCCGGAGTAGTAACAGCCTCCGTCCGTCTTGTCTTTAACCACCTACAACATGTAGCTTACATTGTCTCTGCTTGCCTTCTCCTTAGGTCTCTACTTTCACTAATGCTCCATAAATCCTAACCTAAATCTAATACAAAATAGTAACTTCAAAACGGGTGACTTGTCACTTCTATCGGGTGACCCGTCACTTCTGTAAGGTGACGCGTGAATTCTACCGGGTGACCTGTCCCTTCTATCGGGTGACCAACCATTGGCAAGTATTCACGTGCCCCTTCCTTGGGCGACAACTATAGTCCCATCTCTCGCGGTTCCTTGTTCAGTGATGCCCCTCGCGACTCCGCGTCGTCGTGCCCCACGGGCTCGAAAGCGTACTCTGTCGGCGTCTGGCGACAATCGTGCAGTCTTAGCTTAGCCCTCCGCCCTCTGGTCCCAGGGTTCTTATACCATCTGGATCCGTGGGCGTGCTTCGGTCCTCATGGACGCATTGGGAATCGGAGATTCCCATTGGCTACATTCCCTTCGGTTCTTAAACTTGCCTATATTTGGTCTTTCCTGACTTTGTCCCTCATTGTGGGAAGTGGCTGACTAACGGAAATGAATAATCATGAATAACAGGATACATGAGCAATCTCGATTTCCGTAGTTAATTTCATCATTCTAGCTCAACCATAAATTCATATCTGCTAAGCCTTAATAATATAATTTAAAACTTCAAGGCCAAGTTTTCAAAATGTTTTCAAAAGTCCTGGGCACAACAAATGAATAGCCTTGTTCTGGTTGGACATAAATGTCGCGTAAAATCGCGAACAGTTTATGGGAGGGTAGCAAACTGGCGGTCAGGCGATGTGACATCGCTAAGTCTAGGCTTAATGCTACGCTTGCTATATCCGCGTACATCTTCATTAACAACACTTCTAGCTCTCGTATAGCTCGCCCTTTTTCCCGACTCGGTTATCCGGCGCGCGGTCTGATCAAGTTGCTGGTCTAGAGTTAACTGCTCTCTAACGTCTTCTTCGCGGCGTATCTTCATTGCCCTGATCATTTGAGCTAGTATCTTCGAGTTTCCCCCCACGCGGCGGGCGCGTAAGGCTGATAACCTTACCGCCTTCTATGAGCCGACTGTCTAGAAAATGTGGGAACCTCCACATCTCACCACCCTATAGGCCTCCACGGCCTGTTACAGGGACGCATTTACTTTACTTACTGCTAGTATCGCCATTGTGGTTTTTTTTCGAGGCCGGCCCTCTGGCGAGCTTCTGCCTGGTGGCCCGGCCCCTGGCGTACTTGAAGCCCCTGGCGTTCTCGTTCCGGGGCGGCAGGGGCCCTTTCTGATTGTCTGTTCTGAAAATATAAATTAAGTTAGAGGGATTAATGGACTTTTACAGGACAGGATGTTTTCTAAATACATGCCTAAAGTTGTTGGACACAATCTCTCGTGTGCACAGCGAGTAATCTTGGGTGGTTCCGAAATATAGGCTACTCAGGCAAGTCTCGTCTGTCCTCTGTATGGTGGGAACTACCCCCTGACATATTGTCATAGCTCCCTCCTGGCAACTCTTCATATTGTCTGCAGGTAGCAACATATAACTCCTCCTATCGGATGATACCGCCAACCTCTCGGTCCCTGTTTGAATTCTGAGGAATTTTTCTATTTGGAGCTCAAATGTTGGTAACGCCACTGGGTCGTACACAAGGTAGGTTCGCTTCTCGTGTCTTAGAGGATGTTGGATAACAAGGCGAATAGCTTCCTGTGTGGCCAGGACTGCGACTTGGGCCGATGCGTAAAATACATGCATATTCTCCTGCTTCAAGGCTGTAATAAATGAATAAACTTGTTCTGGTTGGACATAAATGTCGCGTAAAAGCGCGAACAGTTTATGGGAGGGTAGCAAACTGGCGGTCAGGCGATGTGACATCGCTAAGTCTAGGCTTAATGCTACGCTTGCTATATCCGCGTACATCTTCATTAACAACACTTCTAGCTCTCGTATAGCTCGCCCTTTTTTCCGACTCGGTTATCCGGCGCGCGGTCTGATTAAGTTGCTGGTCTAGAGTTAACTGCTCTCTAACGTCTTCTTCGCGGCGTATCTTCATTGCCCTGATCATTTGAGCTAGTATCTTCGAGTTTCCCCCCACGCGGCGGGCGCGTAAGGCTGATAACCTTACCGCCTTCTATGAGCCGACTGTCTAGAAAATGTGGGAACCTCCACATCTCACCACCCTATAGGCCTCCACGGCCTGTTACAGGGACGCATTTACTTTACTTACTGCTAGTATCGCCATTGTGGTTTTTTTTCGAGGCCGGCCCTCTGGCGAGCTTCTGCCTGGTGGCCCGGCCCCTGGCGTACTTGAAGCCCCTGGCGTTCTCGTTCCGGGGCGGCAGGGGCCCTTTCTGATTGTCTGTTCTGAAAATATAAATTAAGTTAGAGGGATTAATGGACTTTTACAGGACAGGATGTTTTCTAAATACATGCCTAAAGTTGTTGGACACAATCTCTCGTGTGCACAGCGAGTAATCTTGGGTGGTTCCGAAATATAGGCTACTCAGGCAAGTCTCGTCTGTCCTCTGTATGGTGGGAACTACCCCCTGACATATTGTCATAGCTCCCTCCTGGCAACTCTTCATATTGTCTGCAGGTAGCAACATATAACTCCTCCTATCGGATGATACCGCCAACCTCTCGGTCCCTGTTTGAATTCTGAGGAATTTTTCTATTTGGAGCTCAAATGTTGGTAACGCCACTGGGTCGTACACAAGGTAGGTTCGCTTCTCGTGTCTTAGAGGATGTTGGATAACAAGGCGAATAGCTTCCTGTGTGGCCAGGACTGCGACTTGGGCCGATGCGTAAAATACATGCATATTCTCCTGCTTCAAGGCTGTAATAAATGAATAAACTTGTTCTGGTTGGACATAAATGTCGCGTAAAAGCGCGAACAGTTTATGGGAGGGTAGCAAACTGGCGGTCAGGCGATGTGACATCGCTAAGTCTAGGCTTAATGCTACGCTTGCTATATCCGCGTACATCTTCATTAACAACACTTCTAGCTCTCGTATAGCTCGCCCTTTTTTCCGACTCTGTTATCCGGCGCGCGGTCTGATTAAGTTGCTGGTCTAGAGTTAACTGCTCTCTAACGTCTTCTTCGCCGCGTATCTTCATTGCCCTGATCATTTGAGCTAGTATCTTCGAGTTTCCCCCCACGCGGCGGGCGCGTAAGGCTGATAACCTTATCGCCTTCTATGAGCCGACTGTCTAGAAAATGTGGGAACCTCCACATCTCACCACCCTATAGGCCTCCACGGCCTGTTACAGGGACGCATTTACTTTGCTTACTTCTAATGACGCCACATTGGTTTCTTCTGCGGGGTCCTCTGGCGAGCCTGGTCCTGGTGGCCCGGCCCCTGGCGTTCTTGACGCCCCTGGATCCCTTGGCATGCCTTGTTGAGGGGCGGCGGGAGCCCTTTCTGATGGTCTGTTCTGAAAATATAAATTAAGTTAGAGGTATTAATGGACTTGTACAGGACAGGATGTTTTCTGAATACCCTACCGTTTATAAACACTCTCGCTTCACCTATTAACTTAGCTCTCGCTATGTCTGCTAAGTCCTCTCGTGACCAGTTGCTCAGGCGTGCACATTGCTCCACCTGTGATATGAACTCGGTTACCGGTCTGGCGTTGGCTTGACCGCTCCATTCCTTGATACTTGCGGCCAGATATATAGATCTTTGGTTTTTGTCCCTATTGTTAGCCCTCTTAATTGTTCCTCTAATTGTGCTATTCTAGCCTCCATGGTTCTATTTAATATTATCCCCATCTATTCCTGTTTTCTAAACCCTTTCTCTTCTACCAATCTGTACGGGGTGTGTTTCGTTGATCGCGCAGCTGGCACTACTTTGGGGGGGGGTGAGAAAATATTACTAATTTAGTCCATCTCCACCCTTTTAGTTAGGCTCTTCGCTACACTCGGCTGTCTTGGTTATGATCGCTCGGGATCCGTCGTGGACGGGTAGGTTATGGAGGGGTGAATCAAAACTCCCTGCGTACATCCTATTCTATGTACACTCGTCTATTTACACTGATATTTACAATAAAGGGGCCGCCTTCGGCATGTTTACATAACACCGTCTCGTTACTCTCTTTCTAATTTCCCTCTCAGTGGGAGATGCCGTGAGACTGTTGCTTCCCTTCATTGCCTGTCACTCTACACAATTTCTACCCTATTCTACCCTGGCGCTCGCTGGGGTACACTGGAGACTGTACTTTGAGATCACACAACAACACTGACGTTTCAATAACATGGCTAATATGAGCAAAGAGACTTACTTGCAATAGAAATGCAGATAAATGTCGCCATCCACCATCTCGTGGCACCCATATCGGATAGGGCCTCCGGCTGTCTACTGGTTATTACGTTTTAGATCAGATCCGTAAGTCTCCTGAATTCAGCAATTTATATCATTAACTTGCTGACTCTGCGGTTGGCGAAAGATGGAGGTTAACTCCTCCTTTCGTCCTCAGTTCCCTAAGTGGTATATTCTAATTGGCTGTGGGTGGTTCCGTGTTCCTCTTTGCTGCTTATTTAATAATATTATTATACTCCAGTGTACCTACAACGCGACTTGCAGAAGTGCTTTTGCGTATTCTGCTAGCTCAGGCATTCTTAATCTAGATTGTCTTTCCAGGTGTTGACATACTAATGTGATTGTTGTAAAACGTTTGTCGCAAGTCTTAAAACATTTAGGCAATGCATTTTGACTTCTAGTCTCAAAATTGCGGCGCAACATATATAATATAATATTTAATTTTATGTTGCCTTATCATAGTTTACTTACGCCTGTTTTCTTAAATTTTGATTTCTCCTATCGCATTTGACAGGTAAATATTGCTTAGTATTTCAAAGCTAAGTTTATTTTTAATAGCATTATTATTATTATTACTTTGCTTTGATTTGTGCTTTGTTTTCTTTCTTTCGCTCGTGCTCACATTGTAACTGGTCCTTGGGCTGTTGAGTTGCCACTCAAATAAATAAGAATTTAACTGAATTATTATTGTGCACTAGTTCCTCATTTACCGATCACGGTTGTCGCGCGGTCTGGGGCGTGGGCCGTGTTCACCCGCTCGAGTGCTGGGATCGTGGGTTCTGGTCCCGCTCGGGGTATGGTTGTCTGTGTGTGGGTGGTGGCCTTGCGGCGGGCTGCTTACCTTCCGCGAGCTGGGTATCAATAGGTAGCAATGTGGACACCACACGTACAGGTTCAATTCTTGTTGTGGCTACCAGAGTTGCAATTTATTACGGCTATCCAGCGTTGTTTCAGGACACAATATGGACATCAAGCACTCGTTTCTGGAACGAAAAACTGAGGACTACAGCTGCTCTGTTGTGAGTAAAATCTCCTAGAAAGACACGGAACTCTGAAGAAAATGTCAATCGCATTAATGAGGCATTCCATCGATTTCCGCGCAAATCAATTCTTGCTGCTAGCTTGCAGTTACAAATTCCACGTTCAACAGTGCACGATGTGCTACACAAAAGGCTGGCTCCTCCTAAGAGCGTAAGGTAAAGGTAAAGTTGTCCCTGTGGTTAAGTGATTAAGCACTACACCATGAAGACGTATGGGGGAGTGGATGTATAGACCCAGGTTTTCTTAACCTGGGCACTAGTTGGAGGTGAGTGGTTAGCTTCACGTCCCAGCCGTTTTACTCCCGGGGTAAGAGCCCCAGGTACCCACTGGATAGGAGGTTGGGTGGGCCCCGCAGCCGGTCTGGATGCTTTGGAGAAAAGACCCTACCGGAATTTTAACTCCGAGCCCTACGTCATCCGGCCCGTATAAAGTCGCTACACCGACTACGCTCTCACGGCCCTGTCTTTGTAGGTAAACTGCAAGTAATTTAAAGGGTCGGGGTCAGAAAGTGAAATCTCCCAGCAGGGATACGTGACCTTGCAGACTGAACTACTTTTTTCTTTAATTTGGCAAATTGCCTAGAGGCAGTAATGCTTGGTAAGTGACAAGTCAACTGTCATGATACTTACGTGGCGCAGCCATGTTAATATGGTAAAAATTATGAGGCCTACGCCTACAGCCGATATACCCTGCAACACATAAATACAGGAGTCACATGAGATTTAATCCTAATTGAAACTCGCCTACTGACTGAGATTCTGAAATTTACCTCTAAGAATATATGGCGATTTATTGTTTACCAAACCCTGTTCAGGAAACTTGAGTGAATCTCTCTCTGTCTCTCAGAAAACATTTCAGTACATTATTTAAATAAAAATATAACGTCATGTAATGGAACGGGAATTCCTTTGCTGCTTTTCTGAAACTTACCCAGGCCATATAAAGGGGGAAATACGTCGAAAAGCCTGCACTGGTAATCACTAAAAAAAGAAATAATAAAATAACCTCAGTATGATACACACATATACACTTACAATCGAATTCCTGGCTTGTCACCGTAATGTCAATTTGTTTCTGTGCCGAACACAACACTTTGAGTGTATGCACTCGTGGAGCAGCACATAACCATTCATTAATACCCAGCTGGGTCCACAGCGTTTCATTCAGTTCTGTTATATTCTGAGTAGAGCTGCTAGGTATGCTTCCAGTGGACTGAAGCAATTGGGCTTCATGTTCTTCGTATGAATGCTTTATTTATGCAAGTTCATTTTGTTTCCACAGTCGATGGCTGTTATCTGTTTGCATTCCTTAAATTCGTCTACCCTTAAACCTAGCGTAATACTGGTTAGCTATATCTACTGACAAATACTGACTTTCTGACAATACACATGTAATTTTTAACTTGTTATTTTGTATCTTAATTGGTAAGGGCAAAACATGGTACACACTGTATTTCACATGATTTGTTAGAGGAAGACAAATGTCAAGTCACTGGAGAAGTCAGCTTGATTTAATTTCATCTGATTCATGATTTGAGCTTGTGCAGTTACATATGGCTAGAGCATGCCGAAGCTCTGTCTACTTGCACCGAATGCTCACATACAAGCAGCAGCATGGATTAGGAAGTATATATTTTTCTTTATCTTATCACCGTGCTGATTATTGTCCAGCCTGTACGATCGTACACTCTTGTTTTCAAATAAGTCTTGTAATGTCGTATAGATCTTAACGTCGGTTTTAAGGCTGTTACCTGTTCTTTTGAAATTTAAAAAATCAGTCTGCTCCATTTCTAAATCCGAAATTTTGCCTGTGTAATATGTTGCATGTTCACTATCCATAGTCCATACCAGACAAGATTTGCTAATTCCACCAATGAAATTAAAAACGCCTCTCTTATAACGCGACTGATTCGATTCTGGTTAACTATTTTACAAGTAGTTTCATATTTTCTACTTCAATGATCTATTCAAATACCTGATGGTTTTCATGAAATCAGGGACTATTATTATCATTTGTAATAACGAGTTACATACAGTATGTATGTTACTTACGACCTGACTCCTGCAAGTTCTCTATTACGGATGTCTCGTTTCCCATTTCTCTGAAACAGTATATGAAAAGAAATTATATAAGGGACCAAACAGAGTAGGTGTCCTGCCCCCACCTGAGGACGGAAACACGTCTAGTTTCCGAAAAGTTATGTTTTCTTGTTAATTAATCGTTTTAATTCACTTAGTGTGGTGGTGGAGTCCTAATTGGGTCTCCTTGGCACTGCGGCCACTGATTGGCCTATTGTTCCTGCCCCACGTGATTATGATGATGGAGAAATGGGTGTAATGAAGGTGTTTTCTAGCTACTAGAATACTGGAAGATGGACAAAGTCCAAAACCCCAAGTAGGCGAGTGTTTATGCCATCTCCATATGAAGGGAAGCATCAGTAAGATATTGCGTCCAAATTATTATGGGAGCTGCAAAGGCGAAGATAGGAAAAAATCCTGTAGTAAGTACAAAACGTGGGACACCATAACGTTCACCATAACGTCCAATTCTGCTGTCACCGGAAACTTGGTTAAAAGTACTATGATTTCACCTAAGACTTTTCCGTAAGAAAAAATGGATATCTCTCGATGGTCGGACAGGAAATTAAATTGACCATTCTATGATAGATGCAAGACACGCAAAGAGCCTTATCGATGTGCGATCCTATAGAGGGGCAGAAAGTAACTCGGACCACTTCATGGTAAAGCTAAATTACAGGACTGAAATATCAGTAGTTAACAGAACCAAAACCAAGTGCATTCAAGGTTGTGGCTTTCATACCAATATCCTATATGCATTCCTCTTCTTTCTCGTTCGTACTACATGCCTTGTCCACCTCACTTTCCTTGATCGGATCATTCTAATTATGTTTGTCGGAGAGTAAAAGTTATACAGTTTTCTCCAACCTCCTGTCACTTCATCTCTCTTTGATCCAAGTATTCGCTTCAGCACCCTGTGTTCAAATGCCGTGACTCTATGTTCTATAACGCTATGACCGAATTTCCCACCCACAAAGAACCACAGAAGTGTTATAGTTTTTTGTATTCTATTTTTTATTATTTTAGACAGACAAGAAACCAAAGGGACATGTATAACAGAAATCAACATTCATACAACGTCCGTGAACTACACAAAACACAAATATATCCACGCCGCTGAAGACTGCTCTAGTAGGCCACGTAAGAAGATTGGAATCAATGTTGTTACTAAATTTAATATGGAGACTTCATATAATTGGAAGTTTAGTTGCAATTTTAATTTTACAATGTGACATGCAGTTCAGTAAAACAGTTATCATAGTGATAGACGCTGAAGATTGCACTAATATGTCCCATACATACATATATTTCAAATTTCACAAGTCCGAAATACAATACATATTAAACTGGTCACAAGCATAACACAAACAAAGCAGAAATACAATACAAACCAAGCAAACACTGTAACTAATTATTCACTGTATGCTCCAAAAATTCATCAACTGTATAAAATGAGTTATCCATGAGAAATGAAAGTAAATTACTTTTAAAACTGATTCTGTCCTTTCTAAGAGTCTTAATGGTCTTTGGCAATTTGAAAGGCGAAAAAACGTCTTACGATGAATTGTCGAGATGTGGATACGTGAAATTCTTGCCACTGGTAAATGAGAGAGCAGGTCAAAGGCACTACACGCCCTCGTACAGAATTCTTAGTCTTCCTCTGCTGGCTTCAAACTGCCGAAGGGTCTTCCAAAAGTTGTGTTCTGTCCCAATTTCTGACAACAGAAAAAGAAACCTGGCATGTTGTATCCCGAAAGACGGTTATGGGATACTCATGTAGACCGAGCAGGTAGCCTGTGGTTTAGGATTCTTGGAACAATTAAGAATTGAATTTCAAGTCTTCGGAAGTTAATCTTGAGGTTAATCAGATAAATGTATTTCAGTGATATAATTATACAGCGTTACAATAAGAAAATGAGCACGGTAAGCAGCTGCAAACCTAGACACAGATGTGGCTCTGTTTTTAGAGACGTCTGAAATCTCACGAGAGGTTCTTTGTTCCAGATTATTGCTTTTATTGAACCGACTAGGTTGACCAATTTTCGGCCATGAATTTAAGGGAGATTTAGTCGCAACAAATTTTGCACATTTTTTAGCAGCGTAGCGTCACTGCAGCAGATGTTCCAGGAATGGATAGTATTAATAATATTAAACAAAACAATTGATTTGCATTCTGTATAATATTCAGGTTAAAAATTTGCACACTTATGCTGCACAACTAAGCATTTTTTTATCTTGTGCAAATTTCAAATCTCTTTGCGGCTGTAATCACGATTAATTGCTACCATTAGCTGCGACTTAAGTAGTTGTTAGCTGCTCTCATTTTTCTTTTCAGTCCATTTATTTTCTCTAGTAAAAGAACTTTTACCAGCATGGGTATTTGAGCCTGGGATGCTTGCGATACGCTAATGATTAGTATATTATAAACTTAAGAAACATTCGTCATGAACACCAGATGGGGCGAAACACCAGCACAGACCGACCGTCGCTCGCAACGTGACTTTGACTTTGATGTAACCTGGCAGCGACCAGTGAAGACTATAACAAACTGAGAAGAATTAGTGCGTGCCTTATATATTTGTATTTTTAAATTAATGTTAGTATTATAACCATTTGTAGTTAAGAGTTATAAGTGTTCAGTAGATCCAGTGAACAATCGAAACCCTGTGTCTAGTCACTAACACCTGACAATAACGTTACTGGCCATTTAG